CCTTCCACAATCTTTAATGCCTTTCTTCTAGCCCTATAAGCTTGAAACTTAGAAACATGGCAACCAAGCTTGTGAACTATTTCCCTCCTCCATGGCTTCACTTTTTTGTTTGGGTCAGTCTTGAAATCATCAAGATATCTACCTGTCAGCCAAGGTGCTTTCACATTTTTTACATCAAATGTAGGAGGACAATTGTGGTCATCAAGAAATTTGTGAATCATGTATGAGGTTGAGTCCTTCACTCTAATCAAATTAATCATCCAAGGGCAATCTTCATAACCACATTTCACATAAACTATGTACTTATCATTCTTAATAAACTTTAGAGTCCTTTTGATCTTAATAGCATAAGAATCAACTGCTTTTTTGAATTCAGCTCTGCTGCTAAACAACATCCCAAGTTTGAAGGTGGGATCATAAATCTGAGCAACATTAAATACAGGGGCTGATTCACCATTTCCCTCATCATCAGACAACCTATGCTCATTAAAGTCATCTTTGTCATCCACAATGTCATCCTCACTACTCAGAAACCCATCACTATTAGTAGAATCCCTATCAGAATCTCTAGATGAGCCAGCCATATCAAAATCCCTAACATCTTCCTTTGTTGGTCTTTCAACAGATATACCCACGCCAGATAGCTCATCAACAGAATGCTCAACTGAAGTTACATTATCAACATGGTGATCAAATAGCTCATCATCATTTTCAGAGTCACTCCCCACACAATACTCACTATCAACAGACTCTTCAACTTCATTGACAATGTTTTCTACATAAAGATGCAATTCTCTACAAGATAATGCAGTCATAAAACCCACCAAAAGATCACTATCATCGCAGACAAGACTCAGACGACCATAAAAATCAATCTGAATTTTTTTCTTTCCAGGACCTATAATCTCATCTGCCAATGTAGTAAAGCGACTTAAGTTCATCTGTACCTTCTCCACATAGTCGAGAACAGTTCTTGAACCCCCAATGTAACTTAAAGTGGGATAGTTCTGGAAGACACCTCCATGATGCACCACGACAGTAAGGGAACAAGAATCCGGGTCTGTGGGCCAAGAAACAGCAAATTATTAAACATATAAACAAATACAGAAACTCGATTCAGTAGTGATTTCAAATTACAGAAAGAAAAAACTCACGATATAAAGGAGGTGTCGTGGAGTGTTTCTTATCTCTTTTCATCACCATTTTCGATTCCTGATTGAAGGAATATGGAAGCTTTCGTCTGTTTGATGAATTTTATGTGAGAGGGTCTTTGATCGATTTTATGTGGAAGGATATGGCAGCTTTCTTCTCATTCTCTGATGCTAGGGTTTTTTTACAGAAAATGAAGTTTGTTCGTTCTGATTTCAATTTTTATCCCCAAATCTGTTTCTTTTTTTTTATTTTGTTTAATGAATTATCCACATGTTCAGTACATGTGGATTTTTTATTTTTTTTTTGTTTTTTTTTTTATTTTTTAATATTAATTTTGCAAGGTGTCAAAATGACTGGGCCCAGCTCATGACACGTCAGGAGGTGACGAGGAATTCCGGGATGACTAAGCGCCACATCAGCTGCTCCGGGAGCCACATCAGCAAAATGGTCACCGGAATGTGATTTTGGACCAATGCTGCCAAAAAAAAAGTTAGTGTACCATTTATAAACCGGAAACAAATAAAGGACGACAATGCAACTAGGTGAAAGTTAGTGGAACAATGGTGCAATTTTTCCTTTATTGAAACTAGATGTTGTACACCAGACTTTGTATTTGTGATCTTGAGATCTCTCAGGTCGTTTAGGACATTTTATATACAGGTTGGGGGTTTGGCCTTAAAAAAAATAAAAAAAAAAATTGAAACATAAAATAATAATATATAATGATTTTACGGGTGAAAAAAAAAAATAGATGTTGTAAGCAAATTCCACTGCCAAACTGCTACAAATAGCCATAAATACAATTTATTGCGACAATATACCATCTTCAGTAGGAGAAAAATAAATTTAAAATTTCAAGTTCATCAATAAATTTTTCAACCAGGACAATTCGGTAAAAGTTATCAGAACCCACAAAAAATTTGAAACAAACAAACACATTGTAGATTTCTATAGGCAATTAACCTAACAAGAAACGATTTGTGAAACAATCCAAAGACATGATAACACATAATGAATCTAACCAACCCTAGACTAGAATCAAACTTGAAAGTCATAAACACATGGAAAATTTTGTAGACATCAAAATTTTAATATTTTATTAATTAATGTGTTTATTTATTTTTG